CAATATCAGATTATTCTTTTTCTTTAACAGGTATACAATCAATAGTTATATTGGTTCTATTGTTACCAGTTCGTATTTATAAAAACAAATTAAAATCAACATCATATTATTTTGTTTTCTCTAACAGGTATACAATTAATAGTAATACTTGCTTTATTATTACCAGTTTATATTTATAAAAACAAATTGAAAGATGATATTATTTTTTTTTCTTTAGCAGGTTTTCAACAAATTGTTATTTTTATTTTGTTATTATGGATTCATATTTCATATAAAAGAAACTAAGAAGAACATTATATTATTTCGTTTGTTTAATAGCCATAAGATTAACAATTATACTTGTTATACTGTTACTGGTTCATATTTATAAAAAGCAAATTAAAGCATTATGAATCAATCACTTACAAAGAACGACATTTTGAGATTAATAAAACAACGTGATAAGTCAATTGTTTTTCGTAAACCGAAGAAATCTTCAAAATCATCTCCAGTATGGGAACATTTTTGTATTATTGTTGTAAATGATATTGAACAAGGATTTGTTTGTTGTGATCACTGCAAAGAGTTGTTAGTTTATCGTCAACGTGATGGTACAACGTCTATGGCAAAACATAAACGTTCATGTCATGCTAGTTTAACAAGTTCAAGTAGCTGTTCAGATGGTCAATTATCAGTTACACAATATTTCACATCGTCTAAAAGTTCTAATGTACCAAAAGGAATTAAAGATAAAATCAAATTGGCTTGTACTGAATTTACAGCATTAGATTGCCGAGCTTTTGAATTAGTTACAGGTGAAGGATTTTTAAAAATGGCACAAAGTATATTTGATGCTGGGCGATATTTTAGTCATTTATCGAACATCAATGTTAAAGAGTTAATTCCATCACCAATTACAGTAAGGAAACTAATTTCTTGTTATGTGAATCAATTTTTATTTTTTGTTTATATTTTTTGTGTTAGATTAGCCGCAATATAGATCGTTTATATGAAGAGAAGAAAGTTGATTTATTAAACTTATGTTCCAGTATGACAAGTTATTGTATTATATGTGATTTTTGGACAGAAAAATTTACTGGTGAGTCGTCGTTTTAAGTCTTCTGTACGACAAAAGAAATACGAAGAATCTGATTATCACTAATCATTTCGGAAGAAAATTAATGCAAATGCAAGTCTTTTAATTCTATATAGATAAGATTTCAAGATTTTGAGACAAGTGTGATTAGAAATGCAATTTTTTTTCATTGATTGTTCTTAATGAACATAATCAATCTTTTATTATCGATGGAATTTGTTCCAATATACGAAGATTTGCTTAAAATATTATTTCAAATTATTGTCTTTAAACCTAAAACACTATTTTTGATAATTATGAACATGCATTGCCCTCAGCTTTCAATGAGAATTGATTGAATTTTTCAATATTAGTTTTTAGATAGATCATTGACTTTATCAATATTAGTTTTTAGATAGAT